CCCCCCAAGTACCCTTTGATAGAGCCCGTATGGTCCTTAATCGTGGGTGTTTAGGGTTTAGGGTTTAGGGTTTAGGGTTTAGGGGTACATTAGAGTGTGGTTGGGGGGTCCAGGTACACACTCGACATTCTAGCAACCGAACCAAACCTCAGCAAAGCCACTCCAGGAGGCGAACGCCGGACCCAGTCGCCGTGTGATTCAGAGTCCGTGTGCCTGCGAGCTAAGATGACCTGCCGCGGAAGCTTCTAGAAGGCCAACACATAAGCACCGGAGAAATTAGAAAAGGAATTAGATAAGGGCTTCGGGGTTATTATTCTGGTATGAGTACAAGGACTCTAAGGGGATGATTGCTACTGATTATTCAGACCCAAGCCGTTGAAAGCAAGGCTGTGGCGGCTGTGCGGGTCTAAGGGGTTGAGGTTCGAAGGGCATGCGGGAGTTTAGGGTTCAGGGTTTAGGGTTTAGGGTTCAGGAACCGCTTGCGCACCAATAGAGACATGCAGCATCGCCAAGAATTATGAGCTCCTAAAGGCGCGCAAGCGGATTACGGCGACATGTCTGCTCGGCGTGCTGTCAGTTTTTGGTGCCAAAGCTCAAGTTGCCGGGCGGGGCGGGGGAGTATAGTCCAGTATAGCACCGTGAAATGCAGCATAGTATTGCATAGTAGGGTATAGAGTACAGTGGGGGCCTGTATAATGGCTTTGGGCCCACTATAGTATATTTAGAATAAGGAGCTATAAGGAATGATATAGGTAATTATTTAGACTTCTATATAAAAGCCCTAAACTGAAACCCCTGAAAACCCTCAGCCCAATAAGCTGTTCTAACCTAAACTCTGAACCCTAAGTCCTGAAGCCAATATACAAGCGAACTCAAAGCCAATCGCAGGCCTAAAAACTAAACCATAAACCGAAAAACTAAACCCTAAACCCCAACAACTAAACCCTAAACCCCCAAAAACTACACCCTAAACCCCAAAAACTAAGTCCTAAACCCCCAAAACTACACCCTACACCCTAAATGGGGCAGGTTTGGGGTCTCGGGCTTCGCATCCCAAGCTCCGAGTTCCCTCCGCGGCTTGCAGCACAGAGAGCAGACTCGGGGTTTAGGCTTTTAGGGGTTTAGGGTTTAGGGTTTTGGGTCTGGGGTTTTGGGTGTTTTTGGGGTTTAGGGTTTAGGGGTTTAGGGGTGTTTGGGGGTTTACATAGGGTTCAGGGGTCTTGGGCTATCTTTGGGTTTTGTTGGATTGCCTTCGGGTTTTGAGGTTTTGGGGAGCAAGTACAGACCCTAAACCCTAAACCCTAAACCACGAGCTGGCGTGTCTTAAGCGGAATGGAACGGGCTCGCCGCTCGCCGCTCTCATTATCAGCAAGTCTGGTACGGGGATGATTCGTGGTGCGCAGCACCAGCTGGGTACAAGAAGCCAACCAAGGCACCTCAAGAATAAGGCACTTGCAACCCAAACACAACCATAAACTCTTCATTGGTTCTAGTTGGGTCGAACCCCCCAAACCCTAAACCCTATATTCTAAACCCCTAAACCCTAAACCCCCTAAACCCCTAAACCCGAAGGTCAGTGCCAGGAACCACCTGATGATCCCAACCCGGGGTCCTTCTCCTCTTCGGTGGGGAAGCATTCATCCTTTTCCTCGGTCAGTCGCTGAGCGGGTAGAACCCTTACAGAAGCCATTTAAAGGAACCCTTAAAGGAATCTTGTAAGGAAGCCTTAAACGAACCCCTATAGCTCCCTTAAGGGAGCCTTTAGAGGAACCCCTATAGATCCCTTCACGGATGCCTGAAAGGAAGCCATAAACAAGCCCAGCCTTGAACTTCCATAGAAGCCTTGCATCGACGGGGATGGCCCGGCATTATGCTTCAACAAGCAAAACGTACTTGCTTGTAGGGCCCCTATCAATTCGAATCGTAGGGTTCGTAATCAGAACCTACAGACCGTAAGTTACGGTAATTAGGGTTTAGGGTTTAGGGTTTAGGGTTTTAGGGTTTAGGGTTTAGGGTTTAGGGTTTAGGGTTTAGGGTTTAGGGTTTAGGGTTTAGGGTTTTGGGAGCTAGGATAAGGGGGACCCTTGGGGATCTAGACCCTCTCAACAAGGTCCCTTTTAAGAGAGCCAAAAGTAGGGTTCAGAAGGGGTACCCTTTAAGGGGTACCCCTAATAATGCTACCTAACCTACAGACCGTAAGTTACGGTAATTTGAAGTATATGTGCACATCATGGTCGACGTGCGCTCCGAAGAACAAAGCCTCGAAGCCCGCAGGCCCATAGCGACACCACCGACTGCCTTGGCCACCCAAAGCCCTTCACCCCGAACCCCCAAAACCCACAAGCACTAGGTTTTTGTTTTATTGTTTTTTATTTTTTTAATGGTCCCTTTTCCAACTGCAGAACAGTGTAGCAAGCACTAGGGTTTAGGGTTTAGGGTTTAAGGTTTTGGTAGACACCTGAAGCCCTAAGCACCCTTCCTGAAAGCCAGTAATGAATTAGCTGGTCACGCTTTCGTCCAGGGCCGATTGCAGCGACGGCATCGTGTTGCAAGCTCGCAGACCGGGGCGTATCCCTGGAGCAACTGGCATCTTGCTATAGGGAAAATCCTAAACCCTTGTAGAACCCGCAATAACAGAACCGTAAGTTATGATAACTGAAACTGAGTTCCTTAACAAGAGCCCTGTGTAAATGAGACAATGACGGGTTCAATGAGGCTGTGTAAATGAGACAATGAAAGGTTCAATAAGGGATCCAAAACGGCTTAGGGTTAGGTCTCTGGGGTTTTAGGGTGTTGGGGCTTTGGGTTTAGGTTTAGGGTTCCTATAATGATATCAAGGATCCCAGAACAGATGTAGGGCTTTGCGATTTATCGGGGAGCATAGCAGCAAAGAGACGCTGGGAATAAGCGGATTAGGGTTGAGAGTTTCGCCATCTTATGAGATTAGGGAACGCGGCGGGGCATCAGAGCCAGCTAGGGGTGCATACAAACGCTCGACTTGAGAAGCTGTGGCCGCTGCCAGAGACAGAGGCGGCACTCTTCCACGGGTGGTTGTGCAACCATGGGTCCTCCGCCTTTGCAGTGGGTTCCCCTGCCTGTGGCGCAAGGGCAGAACGAGGCCGGCCGAATTTGCCAGATTGCACAATGGGGGCGATTGCCGACTTCAGAAATCAGGATGGTGCTGCCATTGAACGTCGGGTACATTGCGGGAGGAGCAGCAGACGCCCCGACCAACCAGTGGCGTGCCCTCAACGACTTGATGACCCGGATTTGCCCGCCGGCCTTGGTTGCCCAATCTACAATGGCAGCAGGCGACCTCCTGAGGTAGAGGTCCGATGCGGTACAGCTGGTTGACAGGAACCTTGTTGGGCGCCACGCGACCCTAAACGGGCTCTGCATAAGTAGCATTCGTGGTTCTCCTTTAAGGTCCTTACAGGATTATGATATAGTAAACCGACCATATACCCACGAGCCTGACTCCAAATCTTCAGGCCCCTTGGTGTTTCTATAATATTCCAGGACTTGTTGTTTGTGGCACAAGCGGCTGTTGGGCAAACAGGCACACTGCCGAGCAACCTGAACATAGGCCAGCACCACACCGACCAAGATGTCATATGAGCGACGAAGTTTATTTAG